CCACACCAAAGAAGCAAGTAGATGTACTATTAAATGCGGTAGTTCGTGGTATACGTGATTATCTAAGAGTTCCTTAGGGATTCTGGAGAGCTTGCAATGAAGGGCGCACGTTGTAGACCCAAACAAAGTCCTTAACGGAAATCATATACTTGTCGAAACTGCGTAGACCGGTGGTAACGTTAACAGCAAGGTTGTTTAAGACTATGCAATGGAGATCCTTACGATTTGGTCCAATGAAATGTCCTTGGCTTCCAGGATGACACCTGTGCCCCATCCGGTAGATACTACTTGGTAAAGCACCAGTCGTAGTCGATGCTATAACGGAGGGATCAGTATTGTCGGATGTTTTCCTAAAGTTGTCTCGGTATGCAGCTTGTGTCAATTTCACGATAAGTTCCTGTCAAAACTTCCTCGATGATACGAGCAGAACGCTGACGGAATGAGATGGGATCCTCTAGATGTTGCAATTCAACGGAAGGGATAGTCTCCAAAGGTTGGTCGGAGTGGAGATTTTGGAGAAGAGGGAGCATACGAACTTCTGGGATAGGTAATCGAAATTGGGTACATGGTGATATCGTTCGAGTGGGAGCGTGATGACTACCTGGATGCTTTTTTCGCCAAGAATTTTCATGGGTCGAGGTACTATTAAATTGGCCCATGGATATAATCCTGTAAGGTAATGATGATAGTTTCTCGGTGTGCGTTCTGGTAGTTCACCGGGTCTTGTTGGAAGTTCGAGCGGACGAGAGCTACGACTTAACGTTAGAAGAGCGCCTCGGCCACGTGGAACGGCTCTTCGTTGAGCACCTCTACCACGTAATGCTGCGTCGCAATGGTTGGGGAAGTCCTGATTGTACTGATGAACCGCGCCGGCTGATGAATTTGGAGAGAAAGAAGCAGAGGAGATGGGGATTACGAGTTGGAAATGGCTAAGCGACATTTGGTCCATCCCTAACGTCAGGTGTCGAAAAACCGGAATGGCCGGAGATAAGGAACGCTTGCGTGCGGTAGACGAAGCAGAGTTCGAGCTGCGGGGAGGCGCAGTAGTGTGCGGTCGTGTAGAGGCAGCGCTCTCCATGGAGCGTAAAAGGGCTGAGTGACGAGAGTCAAAGTGGAAGCAAGTAGCGCTTCTTCAGAGAGGTCGATCTGGTTTTGGGGTACTCCAGGTTGAAGGTTAGTAGAACCGTTTAAAGAAGTAGACGGAGTGGAAGCGGAAATGTCAACATCCATAACCGACGTCTGGTCGAATGGCGAAGAGTGGAAAGGCGCTCAAATTGCAGTAGATGTGTAAGAAACGGTGGTATTAGATGCAACATCAGTCTCCTCGAGTGGAGTGTCGGACACTTGAGATATGTCCATAGGCTTCGTAGGCTTTTTTCGAGGGACATTAGCACCTTTCGAGGCTAATTAGTGGTAACACTACTGCAAATAATTGCGGCTTCGGCCATGTCCAGGCAAGGAGATGTATGCGACTGAACAGAGGTTGGATAACGGATCGATTGTGGGTTGGAAGAAAGGTTGGAAGACAGAAAGCGAACCACGAATATTATGTGCAGAAAATGAAGTATCACTGATGTCACTGGTAAGTTCGACGCTCTCCCTGAATCCAAAGATTGTTGTAGAGGGTCGGGCTGCTCCTCCATGCCGTATGCTGAGCGCTGATGCGGGTTTCACGCAAGTTCTGAATCCTAGTGGGTTGAAGTGAGAATTATCGTCTTGGCGTTTGTAAAATACTCGTCGCTGATCGTTGATTGCGGCGGCGGAACGCCATGCTGCATGAAGGGTAATTATCAGAGTCTCGACATATATCCCAGCTCGGTATCGGTAGGTAAGTGGCGCCAGCGGAGATTGTGATCGGATGGAGAATAAGAGCGTCCCAATTCATGTCCTAGGTTATTTTAGTATGTGCGATGCCGGTAAGTTTCTTACCTAAGGCTTGTTGAACTGGCGAAATCTGTAGAAGACTTTGCGAAGGGGTGAACGATGGCTAGGAAAGTTCCTGTTAAAAGTAATGATATCACGAGACATACCAACATTCATCTTCTAAGCCTGCTAGGATGCGAGCCTCGCTTGAGAAAAGTATGCGCCGGCGTTCTTGAGCCCAAAAGGTAAATAAACAGACTGGTAAATTCCTCTGTGACGCCATTTCTTGGCTCTGCTTGGGAGAGAGTAGTACATACATATAACCTGATGCTAAATCTAAGGTGGTATAAAAATTGTTACCTGCCACTTTGGCTAGAATATCCTCAATTCGAGGAAGGGGGAGTGATCAGGTATTGTTATGTCGTTGAGAGGGCGGAAGTGCAGGCATACCCGCAAGGAACCATCCTTCTTCTTTACCAGAACGCTGTTATGGATCCAAAGTGCGTCACTTTTGGCTATTCTTCCTGCATGAAGTAATTTATTTATGTAATTGTCGAGCTCTTTCCGAAATTTAACGGCAATCCGCGGAGGCTAAAAGCCTGTTGGGGGGACTTCCGACTAGTTTTGATAACTATCGCTGAGGCCTCAT